CTCAGCCCAAAAGACCAAAATCAGAATTTGCTTCAGAACTTTTAGCACAGGCACCCCATTACCAAATGTTACAAAAATCAAATATGTACTTCCAGAGAGAGAGTATCTGGATATGACCTTCTATTTTGTATTCCCATCTAGCTGATTATACATAATGGCATTAAAACTGACCAAGACTTAAGAAGACATAAAACTACTAAAATATGTGTTTTATCAAAAGGCATTCCAAACAATGTAAGCATCCATATCTGACCTGCACATCAAATCAGAAAACATCTTCAAATATTGGAGTTCAATCATAGCAAAAAATCATGTCACATGATTTCAATGTGTACTACAAGCTGACTCATGAAAGACATCATTATAATGCCACATATAAAATGCTAAACGGGAGAGTTAATAGGTTCACAGCACTGCTGAAATCTTTGAGACAACACAAAAAGGCTTCTTTTTGGGACAATGCAATCAGGAGAAGAAGAGTTTGATAAGGAACAGAACATTTACATCAGCAGCATAGACCACCTATAAATCTCAACAAAATGGTATTTTGTTAACAGGTTTTTTCCAACACGATGTCAAAAATGAGTGGATCGTCATGAAGATCAGAATGATCAATACTTTCCTGAAAAGCATAATATGACAGCATAAGCCACATGTTCTGAAGGCGAGAATTGTAATGTACCAACTTTAATATGTCATACTAAACATGAACACGGAACTGTACTCACCGACTTCGGCATTTTGAATGTATAGTGCGGGTATTTCGACCAAAGAAAAAAAATTCACCTGCAAACAGAGAGGAAAAGATTAAAAATTGTTCATGTGATTGAAAGGAAATGCAATGCTGCAATAAAATGCAAATCTTGGTTACAATGGTGCACTTCCAAGTTCTTATTCACAGTTTTACATGAACATGCAATGTAAATTTTTATCCTTATGTATCCTATTGTGGTGTTATATAAAAATGTACCTAAGCTATGGCATAATTATCTTAAGTAGCCTTAGTCTTAGAGTCATTAAAATATGGCTGCAAGACCATGTAATGTGCCTTTTAAATTTGAACATGATTCTGCTCATACAAATATCTAAACCAGTATTTTAAAAAGTTACACCTATATCCTTCCACACTGCATTTGGTTTTACATCCACTGGAGAAACAAAATATTACACTACTAACAACAAAACCACTTTCTAAATGAGAAATGAAACATCAGTGCTGTTACTGGACACATAAGTTAAAAAATGCACTATTCTTGGAAGACTTCACTGTTTTCAACATATGAAATTTCATTAGAAGCCATTTGTTTAGAAAAAGATTAAACAACAGTTACCCTCAAGACAATGGCAAATTTTCAGAAGATTATAAACTGGTTGAAGCTGGAAGTTATCATATCTTGTTTTAATGTTCCATTTCGAAGCAAGTGGTATCCCATGACACACTATTAGCAGAATTTTCTGTGTATCAACGACTGCCCCCCAAATATATATATATATATATAGGCAAAATACTTCGGGCAGCAGACATTGGACATGCAGAACACATGTGACCGACTACAGTTTCGATAGTCAGCTAAAACAGTTACTTTTCCTGATCTAAGTACCTTCCTTCTGAAATTTTACAAGAGACGACATGAAAAGACAAAACACGTAAAGCAACGGCAACTTCACAGGTGGCGGTGACTTTTATTGCATACTGTGGCCTAAATCCACATGTATGAGAATTCAATATTACCCACCATATTATTTAGCCGGTAACTTGAAACAATAGGTTCAACTGAAACACAGAATAATATGTTCATATCCATTTCTTCCGCATGTATTTAAAAAAGACTGAATTACAATTTAATAAAACAATTAATTTTGCGACACTAGCGCCTTTCCTTAAGCTACACGGAATATGTGAAAATGTCAGTTTCATTCTCAATTTAAAAAGCAGCAATAGAGAAATATGAATTCGATTAGTACTTACATAAACTAAAACTCCCAGACGCTATACATCCACAAAATTACATGAACAGTCAATCTTACTTTCTCATAACTCCAACACACACAAAACCGTCACGTTGACTGACACCTCATTGACAATATGGCGTCCGCCGTAAAGGGTGGGGCGTTCAACTATGGGTTCATTCATGCGCGGTAACTATGCGCACAGCGTATAAAGGCGTTTCGCGCCTTTCCAAGTTACCTACAGTCATCATTTAAAATTTGGAACTAAAGTAAATTCAATAAAAATCACCTTAATACTCTTTTCTAGTCGACATATATTACATCAATAAGTGCTAGTAGCGATAATCAGAAACTGTAACCAGATTGGAACATTTTATTATAGAAAAAGAGCTCGTGAAAGAGGTATTTCATTGCGTCCATCTAGTATTTAATTTTGTAACTGTATTGACATAGAAGTTAAAGGTATCGTATGTTAGATGGCGATACAGATACAAACAGGCCCTTACTTATTGCATCACCACTGATGGCCACTTAGGAAGAGGGTAGTTAGAAATGTATGCACAGTTTTGCTAGGAAAATGACATTATTTCAGACCAATTGGAAACAGTGGCATAAATCACACAATAGTAATACAAACTTCCCTATAATGTCCGAAGGCAGACTTTTCTGATGATTGTGAACATTAAAGTTCAGTAACGACATAACATTTCTAAACTAATCTCATCACAAAAGAGGTCAAGACATTCATTATTTCTAAATTTCTTTCTAAGTTATGTGGAGGAAAACATCATGTCTAACTAGAAAGTCATATGGACATTATATACTGTTATAATATAGGACTGCATGTTTCAAAATTTCTACATATTTACCATTCAAATCTAAGTGTATTTTAATCTTTAGATTCTTGTGTTAGGCACAAGCTCTGAGACTCTTGAGAGACATTCCACAATAAAAGAAACCTGGGTAGTATAAAAATGTGTAAATTATGTATAGATGCTAAGAAATTTGAAGTACATCCAAGGAAAATTGAATGGCTGTGGGGCGAGAAATGGAACTTCAACAGAATGTGTTAACGTCACTGTTCTGTCTGTCTTACCAGAGACTTCAGCACTCTCACAGGGCATATAATCATTGACATGATTAGTCATTATTAAGTCACCAGAAGCACAGCATGAGCATGTGTTAACCAAATCCTGTGTGGCATGAAAATCTTGGCATGTAAGTGTATACTTCTGTACTTCATCTTCGATGATACACAAATTACAACGCAGCACACAACAAAGGTTACACAATTATAATTGCAAGGGATATGATGCTGCATGATACATCAAATGACAGCATGCAAACAGCTGTCAACATCTGAAGACTTGCTAACATAGAACATGGAATGTCATGCAGTCTCCCCCCCCCCCTTAAGTCTAATATGTTTCTTTAACAGCACTTCCACAGACAATGAGCATAAGCCTCAAATAGCTGCCTAGCAATGTCTGGCTGGCTGGAGCAGGCTAAAGATGTTTTTATCTGGCTGGTTCTCCTGCATTCCAAAATATGGTATACCAGTAAACTACAAAAGTAATACTTTTTGTGTTTCATTATTGAAAGTCTTTGCCAGATGAACACAGTTAACATGAACACTCTCTCCCACTGGTTGCTCAAGTCTGCTAGCCACCAGATAGACAAGTGCGACATGCAGCCATAAGGAAACTGACAGTCTATTAAGATCACTCCCTGCCTGAGTTGATCTGTAAAGTGATGGGCGTCTTGCAGTACTGCATCCCAGAACATGTCCGGTAATGCTGAACAACAATGTTGTGATGGTGTTTCCAGAATGATGATTGCTGAATAAATAGGTGTAGAACAGAGATCAGCACACATTGCCAGCTCCCATGCATTTTGATTGCTTTTCTTTAATTGTAAAGAAATGTTCACATTCTAAAATGGTAAGCAGTAGAAACACATCATACATACTATGCATCTTAGAACATCAATATCTAAGTCAAATTTTTGCAGTTCAGTGAATATTAACTTCTGATTTTCAACATAAAACAAAACTTCATGACCAAATTTAATACAAATACACACAACCAGACTGATGCAGTTCCATAAATTTATGATCCACTAGATTTACAACACTCAGTAAACAATACAATGAAGATCTATTAGTATTCATAAAAGATAATATGAAATTAACCATATTTTGTAGTCACTATAGAACGAAGATTTTGTGTTGTCAGCCTTACCTCATGAGACTTCTCTTGTTACTTCTTAACACACACACACACACACACACACACGTTTCCTCTGTCTGCAAACTTTTAAATTCCTAGACATGAAAATTGCTATAATGGAATCAAATATGTGCCTCAATTATAATTTTTCTCCATGCATGAAACATCATGAAAATCTTAATAAAATTCTTTGCAAGTCAATTTTCATGCTCCTAGAATAGAACAATAGAAGTTCATAGAAAATTAAGAGGCAAATCAAATAACCAATTCATGCAAATATGTTTTAATTCAAACATACATTTCAATATGACAATAATGTGAACAGATATAGTTTTTCATTTTAGAAAAGAGCTTGACTGTAGTAGTTGTGACACAGTATGTATATACCATCCCAATACGGAGAACTTTAAAACTATAAAATCTACAAGTACACTGATATAGACACAGGAAAATGCCATTAAAGTTTTTAAAAAAAACATAAAGCTAAATATGCTTTAAGTCATAATAACTACCACATTAAAAATTAAATCTGTGGCGTAACAGCTCCAGAGAGCCAAAGCCGACTAGCTTGACTGCTGGCCTCACGTTCACATGCCTAAGCAGAGGGGAACGATCATCCAACCAGATATAGGGTGACTTGTGGTCAGCACGACAAACCCCCAGCCATTGCTAGTTTCCATGACCGGAAATAACTACCACATACAAGATGGATTTATACAACTGGAAAACATGTGGATCTTACATCTTGCAATAAAGATTTCATAATAATTGCAAAGCTATGAAAAGTTAATAGTAAATATA